ATTGACCGAGCGAACGAAGATGTCTTTACATAATGCTTCATAGTCAGGTTCCACAAGGATATGACGATATTGAAAATGGAGACAAGTTTCCCGAAACTTTGGCTCACTCTACTTTTCTTTAACGAAAACAAAACCATGGTGCTATGTATTAGATTCGAAAATTTTATCACATTCTCAGATTCTCAGACGAACATCTCGAACCGAATTTGAGAAATTATTACAAACTCGTCGTGGCACGAGCCTTTAACTACTGGTATTTAAAAGTAAAAGTGTTTTTCTTTTATAACTTCCACTTCAGTTTGAAATATAATGATGGCGGTCGATTCCTTCCATTTGTTCTACAAATGTGAGTAATTGACATCATGCTATTGACATACAATATTTTGCGTTAATTATCAGTGGAAAAACGATCCCACGCAGACAATCAGTGCCTCGCCTTGTGAAATGATATAGCTGCTGTTTATATAAATCTGGACACTATGACCCTCTGGGTGTGTTGCCAACGTGCTTATATTTCTATATAATTTTAGCCCTGATCACTATGACCCTCTGGGTGTTGCCAACGTGTTTATATTCCTATATAATTTTAGCCCTGATCACCATGACCCTCTGGGCGTTGCCAACGTGCTTATATTTCTATATAATTTTAGCCCTGATCACTATGACCCTCTGGGTGTTGCCAACGTGCTTATATTTCAATATAATTTTAGCCCTGATCACTGTGACCCTCTGGGTGTTGCCAACGTGTTTATATTCCTATATAATTTTAGCCCTGATCACTATGACCCTCTGGGTGTTGCCAACGTGCTTATATTCTTATATAATTTTAGCCCTGATCACTGTGACCCTCTGGGTGTTGCCAACGTGTTTATATTCCTATATAATTTTAGCCCTGATCACTACGACCCTCTGGGTGTGTTGCCAACGTGCTTATATTTCTATATAATTTTAGCCCTGATCACTATGACCCTCTGGGTGTTGCCAACGTGCTTATATTTCTATATAATTTTAGCCCTGATCACTATGACCCTCTGGGTGTTGCCAACGTGCTTATATTTCTAGATAATTTTATCCCTGATCACTATGACCCTCTGGGTGTTGCCAACGTGCTTATATTTCTATATCATTTTAGCCCTGATCACTATGACCCTCTGGGTGTTGCCAACGTGCTTATATTTCTAGATAATTTTATCCCTGATCACTATGACCCTCTGGGTGTTGCCAACGTGCTTATATTTCTATATCATTTAAGCCCTCCGGCAAATAACATTGGTCTAAGAATCTCACCTTAGAGTGGTCATTATTTTATATAGCATCTCCTGGATGCTGGAACTGAGTAAACTGCATTGATGAATATTATCATAAACTTTTTCCGAAGTCCAAAAATTCTTTTACAATGACAATTTTAGGTAATGGGACAATTTAGAAATTCCCTGAAATTGGTTAAGTATATCCTGCCTATAATCTTAATCTTAGGTCCATACTTGGTACGATCCTAAGTTACGATTCTTAAAAAATCACTGTCTTCTTGAAGATGAACAGTGGCTTGCGGCCAATAAGTTGCGACCGTTCCAAAAACGGACCCCTGCATCGTACACTAAACGCAGAATTACCAAATATGACAGGAACGAAGTGGGATAATTAAAATCATTGACGCAGAATAATATCAACACACAAACTCAAATCCACACGTCTGTAAACCGATATTACGTTTCATCTATGATTTTACATTCCAGGATTGTTCCAATTATTCGATCCAATATTTGTGTTTTGTGAGATCTTTAAGATATGCAGATTCGATTGATGCAAATGAATCGTTTCATAAGGGATCAATTTAAGATGTACGTCTATTGATTTAAGCAATTTTCATTCTGTAAATATTAGATTTGAAACATAATGCTATCTGGTTTTGTCCGACACCTGGATTTAACATCGATGTATTTTTTTTCGTGCTGTACCTTTTATAGAACTTGGATCAACTTGTTCTTGAATTAATTACAATTGACAACACGTGTATAGTACATGGCACCATTACGATTTAAGAACATTTTCTTACATTAATGTTTGTGGAGCCCCAGCGAGTGTGTTCTGTGTTGAGCTCCCAGTGTTCTACGTGGAGCTCCAAGTGGTTTATGTGGAGTTCTGGGCTACCCAATTCAAACTTTAGCGGAAGTATTTTGATTCAGGTGTTCTGGGATAACTTATTTATCAAATGCACTCGATACGTTCTGATACGTTGATTTCCAATTTGCCATTCAGTGTCGGAGTGCACTAACTGGCTGTTTCGTTGTGCAGCATACCCAACCTGTACACGATTTCGAAAATATTAATTTTGCAATTCACTTCATCTTTACTTAGTCTATGAGAATCTACAACGCGATTCACAGATTATACGCACGAGCATCTAGAATGTGCGACTTATGCTAGCCCATTGAAAATATGATAAATTCGCTTACTATAAGAAGAACGTACTCAAGCTTTGCTATTTATACAGATTTTCAGTTGTGCTTCTGAACTCTATTAATGGTGTATGGTACAGATAGTTACGATTTTACAAAAAAATGTTATTTTAGGATCCGAATAATTTTAACAGGGTGAGCCAAAAAAGATAACCCAAACAAATGTTGATAACTCAGTCATTCAGCTTGGGCTTAAAGTCATTTTTGGCACAATTAAACCTTGTCCAATGTTCTTTCATTTTATTAAGTTTCATTGGTCTATTCCCAATGGTCACAAGTAATATAATATAAGGGACTACTTTGTCGAAGTAAGCCATGTAAAACAAAGACTTGGACTCATCAGTCGACTTTCGTAATAAACTCATTATTGTGATCGATCATATTGATTTTTCTCACGATCTTATAGTCCCAATGCACCTTGGGCATTTTGCGCAACAACATCTGTATTTAGTCTATTCGCATGTTGAGTTATCATAACCAGAAATATGCCATATTATCTCTCGAAATGTGTTCAGCAATTGTTTTGATAGCTTTATTCCTGCCTTTGATTCCCATCGGTGATATTTGAGTCTCAGCGGAAATGTTGTTTATTTGTTGATGCAAAATATCAAAATTGATATTCACCTACCTCTTTGATATGGGTAGTTTCAGAATGTCTTGCTTGGGGGTCTATTTGCACTCAAGATTCAACAGATATCTTCGGAGCATTGATGGGAATCATATGTAAAAGCCTTCAACAAACAAGACTAGGAGTAGCTGATGTACGCATGCGCAAGTTAAAGATTATCCGAGTATGTTGAAACAATCAAATAAATAATTACAGGGCGTTAAAATTGCACTGATAAAGTGATATTATAATCTTTTTGTTTTTCTTTAATTCTTCACGAACCTGATAATTATTGATGTGATAGTACGCCAAGAGATCCAACAAAGGTAGTTAAAGATCGACAGTTACACATTCCTGGGAAACTTAAGAATCTAGTTTATCTTCAAGCAACATATGAACACATGATGAAAACGTCTGAAGTATGCCCGTAACATGTAAGCATGTGCATAGTTTTAAGCATACTGTCAATTTTGGACTAGAAATAATATTGTAAATCAGCCTGATCCGCAAATATCAGTTGATTTTCATATATCTTTAAGTCTTCTCCAAGGATCCAAAGCAAAAATGCATTTCTTTCCCCAGACAATTTTTCATGTCTTCGTGTCTCCCACAACGGATTTGAAGTAAACATATACGCTTTTTGCTGTTGCATTAATATTTTTTAATCTCCGAGCGCCATCATTAATTTCGCATCGCACTGATTTATGAATCATTTGAATCAACACTAACCATTTTCACACTTCATAAAAATAGTTAATCACGCTTCAACAATGATTTATGTTCAATATATACGATAGCGAAAAAGTACAAATAAAGCAGTCCTGCATTCCTATAATTTAAGGTAGACTTATTGATAAAGAAGACATTCTAATTAGATCTATGAAAGATGTGGAATTTTAAGAGTTTTACAAGCCAAATAAATAAACTTTACGCTCGTTGAATGTCGGTAGGCAAGTACCTCGGCAGATGATGTATTGGGAAATTGTTTTTTATGCAATCTCTTAGACTAAAACAATTTTGTAGAAACTAAGATTGAAGATCGCAGTTGGAAATCGTAAAACCATGAGGTATTGAATAAGCATCGAAGGTTGTACTGCTCTTGTATAATAAATATCTCTTTTATCACTTTATTTCTCTGATAAATACAGGATTCATTATCCTTGTCCATTGCCATGTTTTACCAAGGGGGAGCTCTTGCCAAGAGTGGGGGACTTTTTACACATTTGGCTTAGAATTCACGCAAAAGGTGCTCAGAACGGTGAAAAACAGCATGATTTCAAAAAAAATTCCCAGCAATCCCCCTCCCCCACCACTAGCTACGGGCCTGTGATGAGTTACAACAGCATGCATATAGATGCCCTTGCATGTGTACAAGTATAAGTTCGTACATGTTTGTTTTAAAGTCATAGATCCCTATTCTCAAAGCAAAACGATAGTGGACGACATTGGGTATAAGAAGAATACAAGAACGTTTTTTCATATGACTCTGTATTGTACTACATGGTCACATTTTATGTCAAAACTAAAATAAAATTGGTAAAAACATCAAATAGAACTTCATTCTTAATTGTTTGCCATAGTGACATATTTTGTAGAAAAGTATAGATTACCATAGCAACAAAATTACATTGTTATGGCAACGCAGCGAGTAAGCATAATCGTTTATAAAGTATCCCTGAACAATACGCAAGAAGTATTAATTTAATTATAACATGGGCTTTCAAGAGAATGATTGAAGCCCATAATTCTAATATGCACAATGGATTAATCTAGTTTAAAACGATAAGATTACATGTATAAACCTAATTTATATAAAGAAGATGTTGTTAAAATACTCAAAAGTATAAATTTTAATATTCAGAAGGTAATAATTAAGTTAAAATATGAGCAAAATATTCAGTTACAGTACAGAGAGGTCCATTATATATGCTCACCTGTCGACTGCGATGGCTGCTAATGTATTCACTGACGCACTAACTGCGACGCCCTGTAGGAACGGCGTTGCTTTACACATAACAGCTCCAAATCTCCAACATGAAAACATAACAAAAAAGGTAAAGCAACACATTGATGTAGGATCAGGAATGGAGTAAAATTTGTTCCAAAAGCATAAATGAAGTTCTTTGAAGAAGGATGCCTTAAGCTGAAGACCGATTGGCCAGATAGATGGAAATGATTATAATGAAAATATTGATACGTTTTTTTGAGAAAATTGGTTCAAAAATTTTAAACTTTATTCTTTGCACCTTATATCTAAAAATCGACTAAACTTCTCCAAAATCATTATCATCAAATCTCAACTTTTCGAATTTTTTCGGAAGACACAAGGGAAGTAGTTTATGAACCAAAGCACACTTAACTCAAATCGATTTCTACTAGAATTGACAAATGGTCTAACACGCAAAACTAATGAATTGTCCGAAATTGAAACGCACCCTTTATGGTGCCATTCAGTAACCTTACATGTCATGTTTAAGGATGTTCGACTTTTATATCAAAAGCACTTGTGCTTAATTCTCCTCCTAGGAGGAATAAATCCACTGTGAACTTTAACATGCTTCAATAATTTCCGATTGTTAATTAAGTTAGCAACTGGCAATATCATTTCTACAACATAGAATATTTCGTGAATGATCACATTTCTTCATCGCAATGAATCTCAGTCAAAAATATCAAGATATCATCCCAATTCTAGGCGCTTGATTTGATTTAATGCAAAAGACTGATAACTGGAAGTTCCTCAATACCATAAAAATATAACGATGGTCGAAATCGGAATAAGCCTAAAAAGAACCAACAGAAATAAATCAGAAAGGAGTAAAACACACAGGGTAATAGACGACATTCAAAATGATATAAAACGTCAAAAAATTAGAAACGTCGTTTATTTTATAGAAAGAAATGGAATGATAAAGAGTATCAAGAGAGAAATTTTACGCACAGGGATTCAAATATTTATTATCATATGAAGGTTAATCAGTAGTGATTTGTGGACCTTATGTTTAAACTGATCACCTTGATTAAAGAGTGATAGTCAATTTTGCATGTAATCTACCAGGGGTGAACATTTCTGTATTTTTACATAAATCATTTATTCATTTTTGCAAATTCGTCCGGAAAGCAATACAGAATGCTGCAAGATATTTGTGGAATGATACCATACTAAATATAAACTTCTGGCTTGCATCATGGATATTTCTTGGGCCTATGTCTATTAAGAGAAAGATACATATCAATGAGGATTAAGCGTTCCATGATCTATTTAATACTGTTATGGGTAGACTCATGAGAAAACAATTCGAATCCAATGTTTCAATGCTTTTTATCGTACCCTTGGGTGCTGTAGTGTGATCACTTAGCCGGGCGGGCGGGCGTCCCGATTAATCTTGTCGACACGTTCCATGTAAACGGCTTGAGGAACTGGTGTGAGATTTTCAGAGGAGTTCCTTTGAATGAAAATCATAGATCCCTAAATTGCTTAGATTTTAGTCATGTTTGGTAAATTTTAAGGTGGCCATATTGGGAATTTCCATTCTAAAATACTGTCTGTAAAGACTTATCTATACGTTTCAAGCAAAACCCGCCTTCGAGACTGATTGATTTGAAATTTTTGAGATGTTTCTTAGTCTGTTAGTATGAACGTTTATAATTATCAGTTTTTGGTACTATGAGAATTTGTTAAGACGGTCATTTTTGATTTTCCGTTCTAAAATATTGTTTCGAATTGATTAGTTTTTTAGCCTTCTGGGTAAATATTAAGGCAGCTATTTCAGATTTTCCATCCTGAAAGTTTGTCGCTAAAATCTTTGTCTGCATATATTATTTCACGTCAAACCGTTGACTGATTGATCTGAAGTTATGGGTATGGGAGATGTTTCTTTGAATGATAGATTAGAACTGATTATATTAGTTAAATAAGGCTACTCAGCTGATGAGTGCCGAAACAAATGTGGATTTTATATCTTTGGTGAGGAGAGACCTGAAACGTCTTTACTCAACTTAAGTTTAATTTGAGTATAGTAGAACATGGTAACTTTATCTCTTGTTAATTACTTGCTTTTCTTTCCACTCTATCGCATCTATGTCAGCCTGGCCGAATAGATCACTGTGACCAGAATATTTCATTGAATGCTACATAAACACAAAAGCGCGGTGCAGGCACCAGTACCTTATTTTATGATTAAGGATTTAAGCACCAGATTCAATGCTTGTTTGTAAAATAATCAGAAGTTGATTGTTTTTTAATAAAAACCGAATGTCGAGGTGTATACGGTTAGCATACAATCCACGAGTGATATACAGCACACACAAAGCATTGAACACGGTGCTTAAATTATTTTCACACATGGTAAAGTTTTATAAAACGAAATAAAATCTAACCAAAGGTCATTATGACTTCTAGCCTATTCCCATTAAGTTTCTAGATGGCTGTTCAGAAAGTTTACATTTCCTTCTAAATCCAATTCTAATACCTAGATACCTTATTTTTAGAAAGAAAATAAAAGTAACGCCGACAGGCAACTTGAAAATATGAAATTGATGAGGGTAATCAATGTCACGGTACACTGATTCTAAAAAATGATGGCCATTCATCTGTTGAAAAAATACATAATGCATATTGTATTAATTATGTATTGTCTCCAATCCACGTCTAATTCCCGGATCGGATCATACCGGAGCTACGGAGCAGAGGTAGAATAGACACTTGACGCTGTTAAAATAACGTTAAAAATCAGAACTACGACGTAAGATACCCAAAATATTCCAAATACATGTATATGAGCGACGGGGTATAGATACTAGCCTGTATAAATAAATGCAAATGGCACTAGTTAGTCAGTAAGTATGTTTATAGAATGCTATTATTAAGGGAACTTTAGTAAAATAGTTCGAAATTGAAGGTGACAGACATTCGTATATGTGACTTTAATTGCACATGCAACTAATGCCACCGCTCAAGGCAATTATGGGTAATAGACAATACACCTCTGAGACTCGAGATCTACAGCATTCATCTTGATTCCCCATCAGAATATACAGGGTGAGCCAAAATAGGTAACCCAAACAAATGTTAATAACTCAGTCATTCATCATGGGCTAAACGTCATATTTAGCCAAATTAAGCTTTCTGCAACGTTCTTCCATTCCACTAAGTTCCATTTATTTATTTCAAATGGTCACGACTTTATGGCCATTTTACAAAACACGCTCAAAATGCGGGTCTCGTCTCTGGAGACAAATATTTGTTTGTTACCTTTTTTCCCAACCTGTATACCCTCACTTAACCTCTTCCACAAACTAACTTTCTGATTAGAAAGCAATCTTTGTATGTGGAATAATTAAATTTTACCAATTTGAAACATTCTAACATTCTATAAATGGAAACATCAGCTTAGGAGCATTTTATTTATAAAAGTCAATACTTACAGAAGTACCAGGGGGTTTATCTATAAGACCATTGGACCTAATGTGGGACTATTTGCGTCTTGGCTGCATGGGCATTTATCAAATACGAGGGTTGTCCCAGAAGTAATATAATGCACTATATGCTCTAACTGTCCTTAATATTCATCAATTTCATTGCTTTCGCTATATGCGAGCTTCTTCAATTACGGATTCGGGAATTTGCGCGAGGTAACGTAAAGGTAAATTTATAAGTTTATATCAATGAGGTAATGTGTCAAACTGTCAGGTCCAGCTGTGAACTACACCGAGAATTGTTCACCCCCTTCTGACCAATCAGAATCGAGTTTATACATAGAGCTTATTGAGTTATCGTATTAATTGTTTTCCATTCCGGCAAAAACAATTTACCTATCCCATTTGCCTATCTGTGGCATATAAAAAGTGTTGCCTACATCGACACAAACCTTAGCACATCCTCAGAAGTAAACGCCATTGGCATATACAAGCTGACAAGTACTATACAAAGACTAATGCATTTGCAATAATCCGCATGCTATTCTAAAGAGATCAAGAGATACGGCTCCAAGCTTCGACAATCGTTAAATCTCCGCTATTGAATTTAAAAATAATATCTTCCTTGGTATTGTTTCCAATGGTAAAAATAAACGAGAACAATTGAAAGGAGACATTGATCCCTAAGCTAATGTAAACCTATCAGACACTGAGCGACAGAACACTTAATCTTAATGTCGGATATCTGATTCTAAGAGATAAATGTGACCCCCTCAATAAATTGGAGCCATTGCTTAACTGAACATATTTCCATCTTTTTTTGTTTTTATTACTAATGGATTGACGTTGTGGATTCTTCAATTATTGAAAGCATAATCAATATTAACCTACTGAAAACTGCACTCGTTTGTACATCTGGGCATTCTCAAAAGGTGTATATTGATTCCAACTCATTATTAAATCATATATCTGATAAGTAATTTTGAGATTTATTTTTCTTTTGTGAGTAATATGACATTTTTAGTTAACTTATGCTTTTATGAATAAATGATTAAACATTGAACGGAGTTCATAAAAAGCTTACATTGCAATGATAACACGCGCTTGCCATTTGAGACAATCGTTCCATTCGAATTTTTATCGTATGATCTGTAAAATGAAGCCCTCTGATTGGTCAGTTCTTGTGCTGTACCAATCTGTATTGCTACTGAGATTCTCCCCGTTGATCATCTCCGTTGCAATACAGAAAATATTGGTACGGAAGAGACAATCTCAGTAGCAATACAGAGGATCACACGATAAAAACGTTATTGAATGATTTGAACTGCAATACAGGATATATTCTGTCTCGATATTCTGTATTGACACTCGACTTCGTCTCGTTCCAATACAGAATTTCTCGTATAATATTTACCGCATAATACGCGTCAAATTTTAGCATTCACTTAATCCTACATCTGCTGCTTCATGTTGCATAATTATAACCATATAAAAGACTTACTTTGAATTCCAATAATAATCTTATTTCTCTCATTTGAGTTGTCATTGTGTAAATACTTGCACTCAATGTGTTTATTCAATTTATTGTGAAATTCAATCATGCTTTCAT